GCCGGCTCCATATTCCGCCTGCACTGCTGCACGGCCGGCCGCACACCTAACTATAGCCAAGCGCGCTAATTGTCCGCGCCCTCTCACGTTGGCTGTTTTCTACGTTGACTGAATGATCGTTGCGAGATTTTGGCGCAAGTACTGCATGTTGGAGATAGCACGGGCGGAGTTCTTTGGGCATGGCAATGACCATCATCAGAAGTGAGTGTGCAGTTTGTACTTAACGTGGATTTTCTTGATACTAGGAGTGAGCAATCTCAGCCTTTTGTAACTTGATCAAATGGGCGATGCCTGAAGGTAGCATTCCATAGTTAGTTGTTTCAAATTGTACCGTAACAATCTGCGCTCGATGATTGCCCGTCTCATATGTTGCCCTTAGCTATGTGAGGCCAATTTGTTTTATTTTATCTCGTCACATCTATAACTGTGCATATCCTCGTGAATCGCGTATCACTGACAACTCTTCTTATCCATCGTTTTCAATACGTTTCTAGTTTTGAAATTATTCTATGTGCAATGTGTGTAGGTGAAATGTGAGCATAATTATATCTGCACAATTTTACGGATGATGAATGCGTGATAGCTTCCGCTTCTTGGAATCCCAAGTCTGTACGTAGATCTGTCCATCCACTTGTGATCTTCCTCGCTTCGGTTCTCCTTTTAGTATGGAATTCCATAATCTTTTCATTCAAACCGGTGTTTGAGTTTCCCGTGCCTAGTGTGTACAGAATCCCATTTTTGATTTCACTTATCGTATCCTTCCGCAAAGCTTTAGTATCTCTTCTACGCATAAATCATGAAGTCATGCTTAGTAAAAACATCCAAGTGTAAACTGATAAGCATATTTGTTATAAACATCATCACGTCATTGTCCGTAGAGCAAGGCCTTTATAATGAACACACAGTGAGACTTTGAAAGTACTCGAGTAGGTTTGAAGGTTTGAATAAGAGGTTTCCTATACATAGAACTTGGAGAGCGAGCCCCACAAGTACATTCAGGGTACAGCATCGTGATGTGTGAAATGGTGCTGCCAGTACTCCCCGGCACATACCCATCAATTTCTCACAGTTTCCAGTTTTTTACCCGGAGATTTTCCTTCGAGAGAGGAAAAAAGGCGGAGGGTATATAATACACATGAAACAGGAAAACCCTCTTCAGCCGAAAGTACGACCCCCCCCCTACCCTAAGTGTTTCACACAGCGATGCTGTTCCCTGAGTACATTCCTTTGAAGAATGTGTACCATCAGGGGCAGTTCCACAAGGTGAGACACTTTACTGTCACTGCGGAAATGGGATTACCTTAGCGCAGAACCGTCTTTTGCACCAACAAATGGCTCAATGAACCCTAGAAATCCTTTGACCTGAACTCACACAAAAATCCTCACCTCCGTTACGGCACTTCAAGTTGTCCACAGGAACTCCTTTATACGGCTTCGTCTCTTTATAACGAACTTACTCTTTTTTTTGAATGTTCTCAATAAAAAGGGAATACTTTCGGTGACGGCATTTACTATCTGTCCAACGGAGGTATCAATGGCGATTTGACTGAAGATGTTTTGATTAGAGCAGATAGGAAATCAAGCATTTCGCGATTACCGAAAGTGTGGAATCTCTCCCTTGTACAGTTCGGTCGTCCGTGATCATGTGGGTTGTCATAATTTCGTGGCCTCAGAAAGAGTTACGAGTAAGGCACATCGTACGAAGGGAGGACCCGAGCTAGGAGGTCGTATTTG